TTTAGTAGCCGTTGGCATGACACTCGCATTGCTTTTTCTTGTATTTGCAAATTTTTTTTTTCGTACTTTTTTAGGTTGCATATGAAAAATTCCAATTCAATCGTGCAACAAAACGACAAGCGATGTGAATAACATGAAAATTTATGCCGCAAATTCATCGATACACAAAAGTCAGGCAGCGGCGGCGGCGGCGGCGGCGGCGGTGGCTGGCTGCCCAAATGAAAGCCCCCAGAAATCCGTGACTGCTAAACGCCCACACATACACAGACGCACAAATACAGACGCATTGCGGGGCTGCTGCTACTGTTTGCGGGTTCACAGCTGTGTGGCTGTGTTTTTTGCTGTGGCTTCGCTGTGGCTCTCGCACTCAGCCACACAAGTGCTTAGGTTACCATGCCCACGCCCCTTCGCCCATTCCCCACTAAGCCCCCTAGCTCAGTCAATGCCCAGAAAGCCTTTGTTACCTGAAATATTCGTTTGCGCCGGTTTTATGTATTTTCGGTTAGTTAGTTGGCTGTCCATTTTATTAGAGTTTTACCTCCGGTTGTTTTTTAGTTTTGGTTGAGGTTTGAGGCATTTTTTTTGCAAACCCTCAATAAGGCATGTATAGTCAGAAAACAAACAAAAAATGCAATTTTCTAGGCGGAGAAATGGTTGCCGCTAGTTTGCATGCATACTATTTATGTACGTACGCATAAGCTTCTACATATACACTAGGCGCCATATGAAAGTGTACACCTTGTTCTAATATACCTAATATTCACAATAATTTACATGCAAATTTTTTGCCTTAATTATTTATAAAAATATTGTTCATTCTATAATATAAACCATAAAAATCAAAGTTTCAAACTTTATACAAAGTTAACGAAAATTCAAAAAAAATTCATCAAAACTTTCAACTTTTTGTTCAGTTTCTAGAAGTTCCAACTGACTAAAAACGCGTTGATTTTTGAGAATTTTTTTTAACGGTTTTTGCGTTTTTTTTTATATAACAAGTGCAATTTACAAAAACTCTTAAATTTTTCGGAAATTTTGTTGCTAACGGTCTCCCGCATTTTATTATATAAGAAATTCATGCTTATATGAAAAAAAGTGCAAAAATCCGTCACAAAAAAAATCTCAAAAACCAATGGGCTTTTTAACCATTTGAAACTTGCACTTTGTCAGACTAAAATTGTATAGGCTACGTAACTGCAAACTCGAAAATTTTCTAGAAATTCTGAAAATTTTGATGAAATTTTATATGAATTTTCGTGAACTTTATAAAAACTGTGAGACTTTAATTTATATAATTTATATTATGCAATGGACTATATTTTCATAAATAATTACTGCAAAAAATATTTCATGAAAATAATTGTGAATATTATATTAGAATAAGGTGTACACTTTCATTTGTCGCCTAGTGTATATGTGTGTATGTGTAACGAACTCGCTTGTCTGAGTCCTATTTTCAATAAATGAACCCAAAAACTCATAGCCCCAGATAACAAAGCCCAGCGACCGGTTGAGTGCCGCTGCACCATAGACGCCTCAGCGGTATTAGATGGCTTGCGGCACAATAGTGAAAACTCGATATCCAAAAACCCAAAAAAAAAAATATGTTTTTCTTTACAAAATACGAGAAAATAAAATGTATTTTCAATATATGCTGTAAAATAGAAAATTCGAAATTCGGTCCTTTGTGCAAAATGAACGCCACGAAATCACTAATCCTTCGAAAGGCCCAAAAAAATGCCGAAATGGGCAAAAAACAACATTCGTTTGTTTTGTGTGAAGTTTTTAAAGTTGCAGCTAACTTAAACCTGCGATCGGCATTAATGCAAATAACGAATTTAGCGTACGAAATATTTTGATGTCCACGCTTAGCTTAGCTTAGTTGGTGGAAGGAAACAAAAAACAAAAGAGCTGAGCGCATTTAATTTATTCATTCGTTTATTTTGCGTGAAATTGCATTACTCTCGAAATGACATTAACTTAAATATGAAAAGTACGTGCAATAGTTTTGAGCGGTTAATAATTAGGAAACCAAGTCAAAATTATAATACATATGTAGTTGGTATGCTGTGCAACTGAATTAAAACATACGAAAAATGCACACAGAGCGAAATTAAAATTTAAAGCGAGGATAAACAACAATCATTTGGACATCCCATAAACTGAAGAATTTGAAATTCGAAAGACTTTTTATTAGATTTTAAAGTTTCTTTAAATGTTCATCGATTTGCTTGGTAAAATAAAACCATTTAGGAACTTCAGGTTTGTGAAGGGTCGACGAAATCGTTGCGAGGCTTTCACCCACTAAACCTCTGACAGTCTGAGTACTAAGCATTCCGGTATAACTATTTAGTATTTCTTCGGAATGCTGATTCGTTACTTTCCGTCTTACAATTGATTCCGAGATCTAGGAGTCGGTAAAAATGATTTTTTTGCATTCTGTTCAAGAAGCTCGCGCCCTCCAGTGTTTCTACTAAGTATCCTCTGTGTAGCAACCCAACACCCGTTCGGAAGGCAGCTTATTTTAGGAAGGCGAACCAACATCAGCAATGGGTTGTTCACCGGATTTTGAACCCGTCACTAAAAAACCCCACCAATGAAAAAAACAAAATACAAAACATTTGATGAGGCGGTTATTGAAGTATTCTGTGCGGCTTAGTAGGAAAAATACAGGAGATATACTGAAACTCAATAGATCTGAAGTAAAAGTTCTTACCGGCATCATTACAGGACACTGTGCTATAGTACCAATGCTTCAACGGTGGCGAATACCAACCAGTGCTCTCCGCAGAGGCTGCCATGTTGAGGATGAGGAAAAGTCAATTGACCACTATCTGTGTCGATGTCCAGGTCTACAGACGAAGCAACTTAACAACAAGTCACGCTTCTTCAACAGTCTGGGCGAGATACTCTTTCTCTCATAGCTACTAGTCTCCTCCTGACACTCACTAAGGGAGGGCACTCACGATGGATGGTTCTGTATCCGAGTGAAAGTATGGAATATTCCACACACGGCCTCCTAACCTAATCTAACTTAAGCTCTTAGATGAGTTGCTCTATTCAAGTAGCCGCTCCATTAAATCTGAGTTCGGCGAAAAACGCATCTTTGGTTCAAAAGCAAATAAACAGTCTGCTTGGCTCGAATGCCAACTGGAAATTATCCACAAATCATAAATGCTGATACAGAAGTCATTATGGGGAACCCTTAACCTCTGCGCGAGCCTTCCAATGGCAGCTGCGGCTAAATCTCCTCTGCCCAGCATGATCGTCGTTCTGTAAGTGGTGAGACTAGCTCACCTTCACTTATTAATGAAAGAGATATATCCCTTTTGAGCTTGCAGGTAGCGAGCGGTAGGACTGGGAAAGTGGAACGGATTGGCCCTATTTTGAAAGTTGTTCCGCCTTCTCGTTGCCTCAGCCATCTCGCTTAGGGATATGCGGCGGTTCCATGCCTATTTTGGTCCGTGTGAGTCAAGTTTTTACTATACTCACAGATATTCGACTGGGTTGGATTGTGATAGTAGATGCTAAATAGTCGACGGACCTAGTAGATAGTGAGATAGTGTCCAATTTCCCTTTCTTCGAAATTTTGGGATACAAATTATATCTCAGCGCATAGGCAATGTCTGTGCCAATTTTTAACTAAATCAGGCGTTAAAGCATGAACAAAATTGTCTTTCGCAGATATGTAGTTTATATATTTTGAATTTCATATCAATGCCAAGTTGCAATTTAACGCAAAAAATCGAAAAGTACTTTGTAATCACTTAGTCTACATTTTTAGCAAAAACTATTTCTATTTTTTGCAAACACCCCCCTCCCTTAGTAACCTTTTTGCCGCTCGTAGTTAGGCAGCTTGCGGTCAAAGTCCTTTGTGAAACGCTATGTATACGGTGACCATCCGTTCTGTTTTTTGCAGGACCGTACTGTTTTTCAAAGGTCGGTCCTGCGTAGTTTTTCAAACCTGAGAAACCTGAAAATGTATTGATTTTTTCCAAGTGTCCTGCATTTGTCCCTCATTATCGGATAGTGGATGGATTTTTTCAAAAAAGTGTTTTTTGGTACTTTTCGTAGCTTTTCTTCAATATCTCATGAAAAAATAAAGAAGGTTAATCATTACAGTAGATTTTGAGCCAAAGATAATGAAAAGCGGATTAGAAATGTAGATGCTATGGAGCGCAATTTGCAGAAATTATATATTTTTGTAAAGGGCACTTTGTAACTCGTCGTTTACTACGTCGATTCATGACGGCGACTTTTGACAAATAATTGCGAAAGTACCAAAAAACAAAAAAAGAAGATGTTCGGAGCAGCAGCGGATAAGCCAGCAACATAAAATATGTTTATCAAAATCAATATGAATAACGTTATCTGATCACACTGAAATTTTCATACTCAATTGAGCTGCATATTTACTTGTATGTATTTAAACTGTGCTAATTTTGTTTCCCCTTTATACTATGTATAAAGCATATGTATATACATACATACATATATGTATGTGCATACGTACCGCCCGCGCTCAGTTGGATACATTCGTATGCAAGCAAGCGAAAAATAGTACATATGTATGTAAGCAATATTCTCATGCATTTAAGAAAACTGGTTTTATATTGTTGGTGATGAATTTGCAGTTATCCAATGTAATTAGGACATACTTAAATAGTTCAAGGTGAACTTTCTGTTAGTTAGTCGCGGACCAAAACTTGTTAAATACAGTTGCTTAACTTATGCATACATCATTTGTTTTATTTTAATAGCTGCTAAAAAGGCTTAGTAGCTCAACATTTGGTGACCCCGACGTGATCGTATCACGCGATTTTTCGTTTGTTTCCGGCCGCTTACTGAGATAATTCTGCCACACTAGTGTAAACGTCAGCAACTTCGTCATGCCAGGGGAAGGTGCAGATCGAGTAGCCTTTCTAAAGCTGAAAACAAAGGCCATATTCAGCAGACTGGAGAGCTTTATTAACGAGTTGGACGCAGACAAGCTACACAGTATGGATGAGTACAGTCTTTCAGCAATGCTAGAATCCTTAGGCGAATTGAAATCCAGTTTTTCTGCCGCACACACAAGCCTAGAGGAATTGGACTTCGACTCCATTGCCAGCGACCTGCCAAGTAACTTCGATGCTGCTCTAATCAACCTTAGAGCTACACTGCAACGCGAGATTGGTAAACGTAGTGCCTCGCAACATTGCTCCACGCTCAGAATGAACTCCAGTGAGACCCAATCAATCATTGTGAACGCTAATAGCTCACGCTTGCCATTGCTGACACTGCCTAAATTCAGTGGCGCCTACACCGAGTGGACAAATTTCTATTCAATGTTCACGTCAATAATCGACAAGGATAGCGACCTCACCAACATCGACAAATTGCAGCATCTTCGTTCCTGTCTGAGCGGCGCTGCCCTTGACACCGTGCGCTCGCTGGAAATAAGCGATGCTAATTATAACACTGCATTAGATCTTTTACAAAAGCGCTTCGATAACAAACGGCTTATATTTCAGGCACACGTCAGGGAGATATTTGGGCTAGAGAGGGCAGATTCAAACGTAACCAAGCTACGAGAGCTGACAGATAAGGTCACAGCACACATACGCGCATTGCAGTCGCTCGCATCCAATGGGAAGATCGCAGATGGCATCATCGTACAATTGGTGATCCAGAAACTCGACAAAAAGACGCAGGCTAAATGGGAGGAGAGTTCATCGATCAGCGAACTGCCATCCAGGGATCAATTAGCTATGTTCTTGGAGAAGCGCTGCAGAGCACTCGAGAACGTTGAGCATTCCATGCAGACACCGACTGGTCAGGCGGTAAAAGCTAACAAGAACGTGAGTACTGGTCAGAGGAAATCCTTTGTTGCTTCCAACGGCTCAAAAGGTGTTTGTGTGTTTTGTGGATCTGCCGAGCATACAATTTATAGCTGTCAACGCTTCGCAAATTTGTCTCCGAACTTACGCCTGAGGGAAGTTAAGAAGCTTTCCCTTTGTCTTAACTGCCTAAAGACTGGGCATCAAATTCGTGACTGCAAATCCGGATCGTGCCGCGCCTGTCAGTCGAAACACCACACGCTCTTGCATTTCGAACGCTCAACTGCATCGTTAATCAATAGTCAAGCCGAAGCTTCGTCGGCAGCTACAGTTCAATCCAACGCTATGACTGCATCGTTATCTGTGTCGCCTAGTACCCCAGTATCTCCTTCTGATGCTGTGTTCCTAGCTACTGCCGTCGTTCTGGTAAAAAATCGTGCTGGAAGCTTCGTGCCTTGCAGAGCGCTTTTAGATTCTGGCTCCCAGTTACATTTTGTCACAACTCGCCTTGCAAACCAATTGCAGCTTGTAAAAGCAAAATCTTCTGCTACAGTATCTGGCATTGGAGATGCCAATTTCTCAACGGAGGGTTACTCAGTCGACCTCGTACTGAAGTCGCGGACTTCAGATTTCTCAACAAACATAACAGCTGTTGTTGTGCAAACCATAACCGACAACCAGCCTGGCTGCTCCGTGAGCACCAACTAGTCGAATGTTCCGTCGAATATACAACTAGCTGATCCTGGGTTCAACTTACCGCAGCGAATTGATCTGCTCATTGGAGCAGCATTGTTCTTCGATCTGCTATGTGTGGGGCAGATACGCTTGGCATCTGGTTTACAACTCCTTCAGAAAACACGCCTCGGTTGGGTGCTATCTGGAGGGGGGCAACAAGCTCTAAAACTATCATCTTTTGAGGTGCGACGGAAGTCCTCCAGTGATATTATTGCCACTCGGTTGGAAGATTTAGTGCGTCAGTTCTGGGAAATAGAGCACAACTTCGAGCCGATCTCTAAGGCCTCCCAAGAAGATATCGACTGCGAAGCCCACTTCCGGGAAAATTATTTGCGATTGTCATCAGGCGAATACTCAGTTCGTCTTCCCATGAAGCGTGGTGTGGAGGCCCTTGGAGACTCCTATTTGCAAGCCCGTCAACGCTTCGAAAGTCTTGAACGAAAATTCGCTCATAACCCTGAGCTTAAAACAGAATATAGTAAGTTCATAAAGGAATATCTGGACCTTAATCACATGTCGCTAGTTACCAATGAGGTTTTTCAACAATGCAAGTATTTTCTGCCGCATCATTGCGTCATCGAGGATGACAGTAGCACAACCAAGCTGAGAGTAGTTTTTGATGGCTCTGCATCCACTACTTCGGGCTTTTCGCTGAATGACCTACTCATGGCAGGCCCAACTATTCAGCCGAAACTTTTTAATATCCTTATTAGATTTCGTACTTTTCCCATAGCACTTACTGGGGACATCTTTAAGGTGTGTTCGCGTCACCCCACCAGATAGCATGCTCCAATGCATATTGTGGCGTGAATCTCCTCAGGAAAACTTTGCCATCTATAAGTTAGACACGCTGACTTATGGAACTAAGCCTGCGTCATTTCTGGCCATACGTGTCATGCACCAACCCGACTGTGCTGTTTGTTGTTGCTGGTGTTTGCTGGTTTAATTTTTTATTCCTCTATATGTGAGTCACGTTTGTGCGTGTAAGTGTGTTTGTGCGAAAGTGAGCGTGGGTTTGGGCACGGTTGTGCAATGCCCAAAAGTGATGTCAAATCGCTTTGGCAACTAAGCGGCCTATCAGGAAAAGAATATGCGCTTCACTTGTGTGGTTGCCTACATATTTATGTATGCACATAGTTGTAGGATATCAATAAATACGTATTTTATTTAAATCCGAGTGTGTGTTTTTATTTAGGTATTTTTTTGATGTTGGTTGCGTATGTGCTTAGAAAAAAGCAACGTTTAACGGTAACTACATACATATAAAGTTTGCATTCGAGTTCAACATAGTTGACTTTAGACATATTTATAGGCATTTGGGAGCGCTTATATTATAAGAAAATAGTTGTGACGTTGAGGGAGTTTAAGTGGCAGTTGAATAAATAAATTAAAATACTTTAACCCTAGAATCTTAATCTCTTTGCGATGACCTGTGAGTTAAAATATACCTAGTGCTGCCCTATTTTTTTAAATAATATTTAACTTGTGATATAAACTAATCATAAAGCATAGTTTTATTAATAAAAGCTACAACCACATTTATTCAAAACAACAAAATAAAAGGGCAATTTTGTGTTCAAATTAAAAAAGTCCCGATTCTGTATACGCCTCGCAGACGTGGATTAGGCTTTTAGGGTAAATGAAAATTCTAAATTTTCTATATACCGTAACCGAATCGCAGAAAAATTCTATTTTGTATAGGCAGAAAAAATTTAGTAGAGACTCACTAAACTTTTAGTAAAAAAAAGTCTAAATCGGACAGAAAGACTCGTATCAACCACATCTTCGAGAGCAACTTAGAAAAATATACTTTCAGGCTGCCAACTTTTTAGACTTATTTTCAGATCAGAACGGATATAAGACCATAAAAATATGGTGTAGCTATGTACTTAAGAGCAGTGATCTAAAAAGTACATACTAATAGTAGGCTATTAACGAAAGTAAAAGTAAGGCTCAGCAGGTCATCTTACATTACATGTGGTAAGTTATCCACTCTGCATTTCAATTAACTATAGTTACCCACGATAGACTGCGAACACGCCCCCGTAAATGAACCTACTAATACCAGGGCTAGCACTAGATATGCGTATGTGTGCTTGTTGTATTTCTACAGAAACGATCAAAATTATTAGGTACGTTAAATATACCAGCAGCGCATTTTTTTAACACACTTGGATTCAGATATGCATACGAATTAGTTATAATAAGTGTGAATACATGCACATGCATAAGGGTTAAGTTTGCGTTCCTGCCTAAGGGTTAATATGAGCTTCAAATTGATCTCCACCATTATTCTGATATTCGCTTTTCTGCTTAGGTCGTTTGCTCCTCCTTGCTTATTCGTTGTCGCTTTTTGCTTGGTTATAATTGCCGTGAATTAAATTGCTTTTATACAGTTATTAATTAATCTTACTAATATTATAAATGTGAAAGTTTGTATGTTTGGATGTTTGGGTAATCATCACGCGGAAACGACTGAACGTATTTGCATGAAATTTTGTACGCAGATAGCGTATGGGCCAGATTGGTTAATAGGCTATTTTTTTATGAGTTGCCACCTGTTAAAAAAGTTTAATTTATTTAATATGCGGAAACGACTGAATGGATTTGCATGAAATTTTGCAAGCAGATATCTTATGACCTACAGTGGGAAACAGGCTAATTTTTTGGAAGAGTTGCCACCTGTTAGAAATGTTTAATTTAATTAATACGTGGAAATTAATGAACTGATTTGCATGGAAGTTTTCCCACAGATAGCTTATGAGCTAGGTTGGAAAATAGGCTACCTTTTTTAAGAGTTACCACCTGCTAAAAAAGTTAAATTAAATTAATACGCCGAAAAGTCTGAACGGATTTGCATGAAATTTTGCAAGCAGCTAGCTTATGACCTACAGTGGAAAATAGACTAATTTTTTGCAAGTGTTGCCACCTGTTAAAAAAGTTTTACTTAAATTAATACGCGGAAACGACTGAACAGATTTGCATGACTTTTCGCACAGATAGCTTATGACGTATGTTGGAAAATGGGCTACTATTTTAAGAGTTATCACGTATTAGGAAAGATTAATTAAATTAATACGCGTAAATGACTGAACTGATTTGCATGAAAGTTTGCACACAGATAGCTTATGACCTAGACTGGAAAATAGGCTACTTTTTTAAGAATTGCCACCTGTTTGAAAATGAAATTTTGCTCAAAGATGGTTTATGACCTGGATTGAAAAATAGGCTACTTCCTTAACCGGTTTTCCGATCAGAACGAAATTAAGTGCACTTACTACGGATTTAGGAAGGATGGTCTTAGACTGAAAGTAAGTCCGGTAACTTAAGGCCCCTCCCATACAAATTGGAATTTTCATATTACATACATATCTCTGGAAGTATTTGTGGGGGAGAACTGAAATTTGGTATAGTGATACGTATGTGAAATCAATGTTGGCATTAATCGATTGATGTTTTAATCAGTTAGTTAATTCGATAAATTCAATCTGATTACAGCTAATCATGATTAATTTTAATCTGCCTAAACAGTTAATCGTAACCGCGATTAAAAAATTAATTTTTAATCATTAACTCTTAATTTGATCAAGTAGGTTTGGTGATTAATTAAGTTATGCTGGAATTTCCCTGTGCACACAAAGCAAGTTAATCCGGTATGGCTAAGTCGGGTTTCCTCATCAATCTAAGCAATTCGATGTGCATTTTCATTACAAACTTGGTTTGTAAAAGTTCCCAGTTTATGTATTACTAATAACAATATTTATAATTTTTATATATTATGTGCTTTTTATAAGCGTAAAACATAAAATACTTTCTATAACTGGTGTTTGGTTTCAAACTCGGACAAACTATACAAATTAATCAGATTTTATTTTTAATTGGATAAACGATTAATGTTTTAAATTAATTAAACAAAATCGCAGCCAGCGATTAACGATTAAAAAATTGTTAACATTAATCGTACAGTTGATTACGACTAATTAATTTTAATCGTCAAACGCGATTAACGTTTTAATCGTTAATTTTAATCAAATTAACAGTTTGCCAACACTGTGTGAAATCATGTTCATGTTCACGGAGAAAATGGACGTTTTTGGATAAGAGGCGTAGCACCTCCCATACTGACTGAAACTTTCATATTGCATATCTCTTCAAATGTTTGGGGTAAAGCACTCTAGCTTGGTATGGAAATACATATGTGTGTATGTATGTGAAACTAATACCATACTCATGGAGAAAAATTAGAGTTATTGGAAAAGGTGGTGTGGCAACTCCCACGCGAATTGATTTTTCTATGCTGCATATCTCTGGAGGTGTTTATTGCAGAGGACTGGAACTTGGCACCGAGATGTGTATACAAAACTAATTCCATACTGATCGAGAAAAATTGCGTTATTCGAAAAGGGGACATGGTTCCTCCCGTACAAATTTACTGTTTTATACTGCTTATCTCTAGAGGTGTTCATGGTAGAGTCCTGGGGCTTGGTACTGGGGTATGTAAAATCAATTCTAAATTCATGAATGAAGATTAGGGTTATAAGAAAAAGGGGCGTGACACTTCCAGTTCAAATTTACTTTTTCTTGCCACATATCCCTGGAAGTTTTTGTGGAAGAATGCTGGAACTTGATATAGAGTTGTGTATACAAAATGTATCAATTGCTCATGGAAAAAATGTGAGTTATTAAAAAAGAAGGCATGTCGCCTCCCATACATACTAAAAACTTCTTAATACATATCTCTGGAAGGATAGACAATCTCTCGAAGTATTTTAAATTTGTTATGGAGATTTATTTTATAAATGCCGTACTGACAGAATAAATTTCATTAAATGGAAAAGGGAGAGCCGGGTTCGCCTTATAATCTTGAGCTCTCTTGAGGCATTTGCTACAGTAATGAGAAGTGGTATTTTATCAAGGCCAGGTTACTAAATTTGAGTTGGAAATATTAGAACCCGCCGTGGCACCTCCAAGAAGGTTACACGTTCACGCGTCGTATACCTGGAACCATTTTAAGGTAAACTTAGAGGGATTGATATCTTTCGTATGCCTAGCGCGCAGACGAGATTTTATAATTTCTTAGTTTTAAACGGGCTAAATACCTTAACTCGCTTAAAAAATAACGAGCTATAACGAAATGGGCACAGAAATAAAATCTAACATCATTAAATTATTTTTCATATTTGCATAAAAGCGTGGGTTGAAACCCGCGGGTATAAGCTAGTATTAAATACATTGAGTTACATAATTGTACGTTCGTTTGATTGGATGGGTTCATCAACGCAACCTATGGGAAACATTCGCCGAAAGGAATCTACCGCAACAAACAGTTTCTGATCGATCTCGCTAAATAGCTCATTGTTACCTAAAAAAAACAGAAGTGCGTTAGTGTGCCTGATTGCTTGTGTATAGAAACACAGCTTTCACGCTCTGGAAGTTGCACTTTCGCTTTGTATATGTGCGTGCGGAATCTTCGCTCTTTCTGCTAACTCCCAGAATGGTTAAATAAAAAGAATTTGTAATTTTTAAAATTTTACAAATTTTTTTAATTTTTATTTTAATACTTTTATTAAACAATATTTATTGAGCTTGAGGCCATTTAAAAGAGAAAATTATTGTGGAAAAACAACAATAACTTATAAAGGGTAGAAGTTATAACTGCTGTTTCGGAGATCACCACATCTCCTCATCAGCCCTCTTCACTGGGATTCGATCTAATGACCCCAGATCCCAGCTTCCCAGCCAATGGTCAACATATTGTGCTAAGTTCGCCTTATATTTTAATA